TTTTTTTTTAATTTTTTTTTTTTCTTTCGTCCGTTTGCAGCATTTCTATTGGCTGCCCTCTGCAACAGCCCACACCGCCGGTTCAGGAAAAGCACTGAAGAAGTCGCCCTGGTGGGATCCAATTTTTCTTTTTCGTCCGGCCACCGCCGCTGACATCTTTGTAGTGCTTTTTGGCGACTACAGTCGTAGTGTAGTGGTGGGATAAGACCCTTAGCCAGTTTCGCTTGTCTGTCAGCCCAACCTGACGCAAAAACTGAGGAAATTCCCCAAAAGCCACAAATGCCTAACCTATCAAATCTGATCAGCCCAACCTAACAACTCAGGCAACGTTTTCCAAGTCCCCTTCCTCAGTGGATGCAGCACGTCCAACAACTCAGGCAACGTTTTCCAAGTCCCCAGAATTGCGTTCCACAAGTCCCCAATAGTGACCATTCCTTTCGATGAGGGGTGGCCGGCCCCAATCATCCTTTTCTCAATGCAATGAGTAACAATGTGTTCGAACAGAAAAACAACGAACGAAACGAATGCATCTTCCCACAGAGAAGGGCAAGATGCATAGGGTACTATGAATACCAACAGATGCATCTTACCACTTTCTGCGGACGATGCATTTCGTTCTCGGCGTGCTCCTCGCTCCTCACTCCTCCCACCTCCACCAACACCTCCGCGTCCACTGCCATGCGCCGCGTTGTTGTGCTCCCTCCCTTGTTTTTTTTTTTTTTGAAAAAGGGATTTAGCTGTGTGTTTGGTGTTTGGTCTACATTCTTTGGTTGAGATTCGAATTCGGCGGTGAAGAAGTAATTGTGCGGAGCATGAGTCCTGCAGTAGCGGGCAAGCAAGTGGAGCATCCATGGTCGGGCAGGGAATGGCTGGGCAGGGATTGGCTGTGGCCGCTTTCCCGGATGTGGCTGTTTTCCCGGAAAAATAAGGTGAGGGAAAAAAGGCGTGAGGCTGGGCACGCCTCCGCCGTGCAATGCAAGGCATATGGTTGCCTTGTCATGTCACGCAGATGGTTGACGTAAGGCTTGCGGGCGTGCGTGGCAAGCGTGTGGGGAAGCGGACATGGGCAGTGAGCTGTAGGGGGTATATAGGGGATGAGGCCTATGGTTGAGGACACAGCATTTGCGTTGGCCATTGCGAGCGGAGGTGGTCATATGTGCGTAAGCCCGCATCTGCTCCTGCTCCGCTATCACACAGCTCGTTGGACGGCGGCGTTGTCAGCAGCACGGGTTACGCGGTCCCCTGATCGGGAGGCTGTGCCCGCATCTGTTGTTCCGATATCCTTGTCTTCTTCCTTTGGCGACTGTTCGTCCTGTTATCCATCCTGCGGGTAAGGCGTCAATCTTCGTCCTGTCACCAGCTCCTCTGCATGGCTTCGCCGTCCTCCTTTTCTCTTCTTGTGTGTGTGTGTGTGTGTGTGTGCCCGTGGTGTTGGGCCTGGAGATGTGGACAGTTGCGTTCATGCTCGGCCCAAAACGGTAATAGGTGAGTTCGCGCGGCATGGCAAAGTGCACCATTTCCCCCTCCTCGCTCGCTCTCTCTATCGGCGGTATTGTACGTGAAGAGTTGGAGACTTCCATTCACACTCAGCCAAAAAGTGAAATGGGCGGGTTCACCCGGCTTGGGGAAATACACCGTCTCTCTCTCTCTCTCTCTCTCTTCTCTCTCTCTCTCTCTCTCTCTCTCTCTCTCTCTCTCTCTCTCTCTCTCCCGCTTCCTACATCCCTCCTTCCCTCCCTCCCTCCTTCCCTCCTTCCCTCCTCCCTCCATCCATCGTCCATTCGTTTATGGATGCAACTGCAGTTTTTGCAGAGGTGGAGAAGGAATACTAGGGAAAGGTCAATTGCCTGGTCAGGCAGGAAAGAGTAGGATGCCATCGAAATCTTGAGGGGTTGCTGTAGCAGGAGAAGGACGAAGCGGGAGGGTGAGGATGCGGGATCAGGACGAGGGTCAGGATTTTGTCGGCCAGGGTCGGATGCGACGACAGAGGAAGCCGAGGGTGAGTCACCGGGATAGGGGGAAGCATGCAACGGGAGTTTCCCAACGTTGAGGTTGTGAGGGGGGGGAAGACGTCGAGGAGGGTCGTAAAGTAAATGGAAGGAGGAGGTAGGTTGGGGACCCAATTTGCGAAGAAGGGGATGGGAAGCTTGAATCCCGAGGGGGGCGATCAGGATGTGGGATCGGGAGGAGAAGGTCAAAAGGTCAGAATGCTCGCAGCCATCATCGAGTATTAATTAATTTAATTCAATCCATCAACATGCTACACACATCATCAGATTTTTATCGGCATGGGGGTTCCCTTTTCTTTTTAACGGTTTTATGGGAATCTGTCCTGTGATATTTGTGCTGCAGTTGATTTTAATTCTCTGTTTACTGCTGGTCGACTGGACCTTCTCGAAGTCGTTGGCGTGATAGCTATGATTGTTAATCGATTAATTGGGATTGTGCGGGCGTAGCCGCACTGGCTTTACTTGCGGATTGATTAAAATTGGTGAATGTATTGATTGCAATCAGTGAACGGATTGATTGAAATTAAAATCGGTGAACAGGGAGCGGTCGTCGGTTTTGTCGGTGGATTTTCTGTGCTTCTGTTTCTTTATGATCGCGGTCATCATCGAGTATGACTAATTTAATTTCTATCCATCGCCATGCAGCTACACATCGTCATCTTATTTTAATCGGCTAAGGGTTTCCTTCTTCTTCTCACATTTTTGTGGGCATGCATCATTCCTCTGACGTTTGTACAGCAGCAGTTGATTTTACTGATTCTCTGTTTCCTACCGGTCGAGTGGAGCTCTCAACGTCGTCAACGATAGCTCACCGATTTTAATTTTCATCAAGCAAAGGGGCCATGCTAATCTCCTTTCTCTGTAGCGTTCCAATTTTAATGGATGTCGTCGTCGGAGGACACCTATTCTCATGTTCTCCTGATGAGCAGATTCAACTACCGAGAGCTCATTCTCTAAAAACAACACGAAAGTTTTTTAATCTTTTTGTTTTTGTTTTTAGGAAGCAATTCTGTGCTAGGCTCTGGTTCTGAAATGCTGTTTTTGGAACCTTTTGGTCCCTCCCTCCCCCCATTGTTCGTCAACTTCTCTATTAGCACCCGTTCCCTCTTCTCTGTCCTGTTGCCTTCCTGTCTGGGGTCCTCCACCCTCCTCTCCCCTGCTTTTGTTTTCCTTTCCTTTTTCGGTTTTCGTTTTTGCCCCTTTTTACTCCCATTACCCCCTTCCCCTCCCCCCGTTTAATCCGTTCTTTTACCTCATTTTTCTTAAGAATTCCCTTTTTAAAATTTTTCTCTTCGTTCGATTTTTTTTGAAGTGGTGTAGTTAGTCCGAAGTGTTATTGCTGTATTATTATTTGTCCAACCTGGTTCTTGCTGGCCAGGACTGGAGCTCACGATCTTCCGTTTACCAATAGTTGAATGTGTGTGGTTTCTCACCTGCCCTTTTCCTCGTTCATCCTATTGTTTTCATTTTCCTTTCCTCTCCTTTTCCCTGTTTCATTTCCATTTGCCCCTCCTTTTTCTTTTCTCTTTATTTCCTTTTTTTTGAGAAAAAGGGCCTCGTGTTCCAGGCTTTTATATTGTCTTTTTCATTTGTAATGGTACAAACAAGATACCCAGGCCATTACATCACACGGCTTGGGCATGATAAATGCATCTTATCGTATCTTTTTTCTCCTCCGTTGTCCGAATTCATTGTATCTTGTCCGTTTTTTCTCCGTCTTTGTCCTAAGTCATCCAATCTTGTCGATTCTTTCTCTCCCCTTGTCCTAATTCATCGTACCGTTTTTACTTTTTCTCCTCGTGTGTTGTACTAACTCATCGTATCTTGTCCTGCTGCCTTTTCAAGCTGAGTGGAAGAAAATCCGCCGCTAGCGAAGGTGGGAGGTAAGCGTGGAGAGCGGAGGGCAGCAGCAGGGGGGAGAGGGGGGGGGCGGGGGGAGCGGGAAGGGTGGTGGGTGTAGTAAAGAATTTGATGAGTGCGGGGAGCCATTAATGTCGGGATCGGGAGCGAACGTGGCCGCAGTTTTGTTTGCGAATCTTGCGACAATCTCGTGCAGTCCGTGGTGCTCGACATTGACGGAGCGTGTCCCGCTGGTCATCGCAAGGGATGGATCATTTCAGGCGCGGGAGGTCAGGTATTTTGCATTCGCGCAGGATGGGTGCCGATTAGTAGAAGAGAGGGGGACGTTGATCAGCACGCGACTTCAAGCATCCACGTGGCGGTGCACTCTCGATCCGATCGCGTCTTCGCGCGTGTTGTCGGAGGTCCGAAGGAGGGTGGGGGGAAAGGCCGCTGGCAATCGGCGCTGGAGGCCACGTGGCGGACGGCTAGGAGAGGGTATGGATCGGGATGTGTGCCTGCGGCTGTGTAACCACGATCTCGACGCCTGCCGCGCCCCTGGTTGCAGGGCAATGGCGGAAAAATCTGACATGATGATGGCGAGAAACTCTGACATGATGATGGCGGGATGTCGGACATGGTGTTGGCGGCATCGGGGACAAAGGCGGGAAGGGAACTGATGGAGCAGAGACATATGGGGAACGTCGCCCCTGATTACGATCGCGAGCAAGTGACTAATGGCCACGGTCCGGTGCCGCTCTCGGCATCGTCGAGGACGGGTGTGGCGGAAGATGGACCGTCGGGATCCCAGTCGTGGTCGCACTTGCGCATCGGCTACCAAGGCGTCCCCGGAGCCTACAGCGAGGCGGCCGCTCAACTGGCCTATCCTGACTGCCAGGCGGTGCCTTGCGATCAGTTCCATTTAACGTTTCAAGCCGTAGAGCAGTGGGCCGTGGATCGTGCCGTCTTGCCCATCGAGAACTCGTTGGGCGGCAGCATACAACGGAATTACGATCTTTTGTTGCGACACCGACTTCACATAGTCGGGGAAGTTAAGGTCGACGTGCATCACTGTCTCCTTGTGCTCCCCGGGGTAAAGATGGAGGACGTGAAGAAGGTGGTCAGCCATCCTCAAGCTTTGGTGCAGTGTGAATGCACTCTGACATTGCTTCTCGGCGCCGGCATCGTTAGGGGTGCAGTGGACAACACCGCCGGTGCGGCAAAGCAGGTCGCACAGGACAAACTGCGCGACACCGCTGCCATTGCTAGCAGCCGTGCGGGGGAGATCTACGGTCTCGTGGTCTTGGCAGATGGCATACAGGATAATGCCGACAACATCACGCGATTCATCGCTCTCGCGCGAGAGCCGTTGATTCCACACATTGGCGCCCATTACAAGACCAGTATCGTGTTCACACTGGAGGAAGGACCTGGCGTTTTGTTCAAGGCGCTAGCGGTGTTCGCCTTGCGAGGGATCAATCTCAGCAAGATCGAGAGCAGGCCGCAACGAAACAGATCCATCCGGACAGTGTGGGACCACTTCAATGGCGACCCAGGCAGCGCGGGGGGGACAGCATCGGCAGCGGGAGCAGCGGTGAAGGGACGTGGAAATAGGGCGTTTGAGTACCTTTTCTATGTGGATTTCCAGGCGTCCATGGCTGAGCCGAGGGCGCAGAATGCTCTGAGGAATTTGGAGGAATTGGCGCCGTTTCTGCGAGTACTGGGTAGTTATCCGGCGTCAATTTGACGAACAAGAACGACATGAAGGACAAGATATGGAGGCACACCTTGAATTGGATGGAGTACACTTTTTTTCGGGTCTTTCACTGCATGTCTATCTATGAATATAATTACGTATAACATATCAGTGCCCGGGCGACGGAGGCCCTGCGACGAGAGGTGGGGCGGGGAGGGTCATAAAAGGGGTGAGTTTAAGGGTTAGGACAGGGGAGGGAAAGGTATGCAGTAGGCCGTCGATCTGATTACCCGATGGTTGCACCATCTAGTAAGGATACCGTAAGTCGTATAATCTTGGATCGTTGAGAACTTTCGTGGTGAGTTCAGTGGTCTCATGGAGATGATGAGGGTGAATGAGATTCGTGGCTGGCGATGCCCGATGGGTTTGTGTTGATGATTCGGCGGGTTGGCGGTGAGCTGAAGATGCCACGGTATTTATTTAACGGTGGAGTTCGCTGTTGTTGCAGGTTGATGTGACGAATTCAAGAAGAGGTACGTGAACCAAAGGCGGAGAGGAAGAGTGTGATGAGGATGGGAAATGAGGTAGGGAGGTGATGGTTCGAATCACGCTCGGATGGACATCGCGGGCGTGATCCTCCCCTGAAGGGAAAATCATAATTTGAATGGTGTCTGATCAGCTGAGAGAGAGAGAGGATGTTGTTCGATGTTGACAGAACGCTCCGTAAGTGCTCATGGTAGGCAATATGGCTTGAGGACGCTAGGTTCTGATCCGCTGTTTGGTCACAGAGA